AGGCTCTGACGAAGGCGATAAGGCGCCGAAACGTTAGCCAATAAAACTTTTATACCATCTTGGGTACGGCAATACCCTATAGGAATTCAAAGTATGCCAAGATTCATCGAGAGTCGAACCTGGACACGCATATCCTTCCCTTTATCCTTTCATTCTTCCCCGCCTTGATTCCTTTTATTAAGTTCACTTATAAACAAGTGGAAGAAGGAACAAAACTTTATACTAGCACTAAATGACACCGTATGATGCTGCTCTGAAAGTTTTCGCTTTCATTTTCTCTTGACGATATGATACAGTCAAATCATTTGTACCTTCCACAACTCGGCGAGAACCGGCTGCTGCACCGCACCAAGACTCATGCCTCATGTGCATTTTGCTTTGAAAAGCTGTTTCGGAAGACGTAAATAAGATAACCCTTTCAAGTTGCGGACTTTCCGGAACGACTCGGATTCTAGGATTCTCTTATGGTGCCCTTAAAGGACGCTTTCCGTGATGACCCTTATGGAAAATGCAGAAGACTTGTTATTGGAGAGTAGTATGCTCTGCAACAAACTCTGCCACCAGATTTATTGGTTGATAGTTGTAAGTGAGTGAAAATTATGATGCCAAAACCTGCCCTGTGCGATGTCCCCATTATCCCAGTGACTCGTCCTCTAGAATCCGGCTCTTCAAAAGCGCCGCCCAAAAGCGCGTACATTGTCTTTTCACGGAATCATGGCGCTTCAGTACATGAGTCAGCAAACTGGCAGACGCCCCAACACGCGTTTTTTGGCATTTCACCTGTGCAATTGTTTCCGACGTTCCCTTTGGCATGTTCTCCCCACGGACGAGTCACTCGGCTTCCTTCCACATTTCACCGCCAACACCTATGCTCCTTATCGTGGACCGTGCCTTTGAAATAGTGCATGTTCTGCGCGATGTTTTACTCGAAAAAGCAATTCGAATGAAAAAGTAGTTCAGAATCCCTTCCAATGAACCTATTATGTTTCTCACAAGAATACACTGCACCACCATCTATCACCCGGCAAAGCTTCGCTGGAAGCTTAGGAATGGAATAAATTCCTGTTGTACCCAACCGCGGCCACCACACAGAGGTCCTTCGTGTTGGAATAAATTTGCTCCGGTTCTACGACAAAGACGAGCCTCAATAGGAAATAGGAGCGACTGGCGCAGTGCGAAAAGCACACGGCAGAAGTGTTACAGTCGAAAGTTCTCGAACTTTGCTGATGGAGTTGGGCTACTGAATTTCGCAGCCGTTTGCCCTATAGTGAAAAACATAGCAAAATAAATGAAGTGCGTAAGCCTATTGTCGTGTTTCCTCGAAATTCCAATTTCTTCTGCTACCGTGCGGACATGTCGAACACGCCTTACCAAGTTGCGGTGCTGGGAAACAGAAAATCCCTTCATATTGAAGATGACTTCATGATAACCTGCTGTTTAACTCCTAAGTACGCGTTCCGAATGTTATCACAAGAATACTGAGTCGTGGGCAAAAGGGGTGCTCCAGGCGGGAGTCTAACCCGCACCTCACGCTTTCCGGGCGAGTGCGCTATCCATTAGTGCGGGTGAAAACAGGGTCCCTTACTGTTTCCTGCCCAGAGCATCCGAGCCTTCTCCCTTCTGTGGACGGTAAATCGTTGCCAGATTTGTGAGAAAATAAAAACACTGACTTGCACAATGGATGACCGCAATTCATGACATAGCCCGTCATATACATTCAAGAAGCACTACGCATTCTTATTAGTTGTAGCAACGCCGCGCGCATCCCACAGAGGATTGGTCGACGGCGAAGACTTTATCCGATTTCACTGTGGAAATTGACGAATTTCACCGGACAACCAGTTTCCACCATAAGAAATATTAAAGGCGTGGTCGCAACAGAACCATAGTGCGCCTTTTGTCTTAGAAACTTGCCAATACTCCTATCGAAAAACCATGCGACAGTCGCCGAAAATGAACAAGTGAAGTCTAGCAGCCGAATCAGCGCCTTAACCGTCATCGAAGGTTAAGCAAACGAAGCAAATTTTTGCGGAGCATGACATTCCGTTCAAGCAGGCCCAGTTGGAGCTAGAATCAATCCATCAGTATTTGTGATAAGAGGAGTGGTATTGGCCTTCGTTGAAGCACAGCTCTCTTTGAAGAGTGCATCCGCCGATTGACCTATGAAAATAGGAGCTTACATTCGCTCATCCTTGCCACTTGATAGGGGCGTGTCGGCGAAAGGAGCGTGCACACTGTTTGAAGCCTTCTCAGCCTTTTCGTTGAAACGCGTATGCGACAAAAAGTGATAGAAAACGAGTAACACAGGATATAATACAGTAAAATAGTCACTTCCTGTTCAACGATTGGTGCAGTACGGGTGCGGGCGACCGCGCCGCACGCAGCCGCACTGACATTAACTATCAAGTGCAAGGATGACGACTATGTGAGAACGGTAACGCAAAAGTTGCTCAGGCGCCTACAACATCCACTTTTTTTCTGATGACTCCGCCTCCAGACTCCGCCTCCAAACCGCCTTCCAGCAAAAGTAATGTCCCAGCAAGTATCATGAGTGAGACGCATTTAATAGGTAGCTCTCTGTAGAGTCATGAGGTCAATTACTTGCCGAATCAGCGCACGAGCGTCCAGCGCGCGTCTTCGGTCTTCTTACCTCTACAGTTGTTTGAGGCCAGAGGAAGCCTGACGAATGCGTTTCCAACGTTCCCTTTGGCATTTTCTCTTCATAGACGGTTCACTTGGCGAATATTTATTCTACATATTCTGCAACACACTAGACGATTTCTTATCGCTGACCGGCCTTAAATACATGAAAAAAGTTTATAAAGGTCGTGAGAAGTCCAACATAGTCATTGTTCTGTATTGCTGGACCTTGTTCAGCACTTTCTGCTCTCATTGACCCTCTTTTGGAATTTTTTCGAAATTCACTCACACCATTTCTTCTAGGCTTCCGATGGAGAACGACTGCTCCGCGCTAACAAACCTTGAAAGGGTGTGTATTCAAAGGGCTTCAAAAAATTGTGAGCAAAGTCTTTCGAATGGAATTGCAGTACTTAAAATTCTTTTACCCACCCACAGCTCCTTCTCACCTTTATGCAAAGCTAGAAGTTCTCACATCTATTATGGCATTTGTGCACAAGAAATCTTTTGAATGGTCCACAAGCAGGGTACAAGATCATGACGTTTCGAATGAATATCCTCATCCTGATACGACTCCCCTCCCCTCCCATTCGTTATCTTACTTGAAGTGGCTCCATAGCTTCCCAACTTCGTATCAAACCTCAGTTTTCCAAAAACGCCTCACTTTCTTTCCACAAATCTCTAGCACAGGAGGGGAGGTCGTCACCGATCACCTTCTACGGCAACTATTAGAATAGTAAATGTGGGGCCCAGGCTATTGGGGCTGGAGGAGAGGTATAGCTCAATGAAATAAGAAAAACTATTTAACGACAAGGAAAATTTTCCTTCAGCCTTGAAAAAATTCACCACAAGCACATACGACCCCCTTCTTCAGCAACGAGGTCGCCCCGTCTCCAGCGATCATGGACGACTCTGATGAGATTCTCCCAATGATGGTGAGTCCTGCCAACAGGGATGGAAATGCCTGCTTCTCCTCTCACTGTGATCGAACAGGACCAGGCGAGAAAAGATACCGGAGCGAGTATCCTGTTAATGGGTTGTGCCCGAAAGGACCAATAGTAATTTGAAGGAGAGTTTTATCGTGATTGCAGGGATAAAGGACGATTGCATAAGTACCGTTTTCGTTTTATGTACAGAACTTCTCAAACCGAATTCACGGCTTTTCATGTTGAATTCACGACCTTTCCTGCCAAATTCACGACTTTTCAATCACATTTTATTGCTTTCTTTCACAATGAACAAAGAACTACCACCCGGCCTGACAGCCACGCCCCATTTCCAGGGTGGTTATGACTTTTCGAATTTATTTCATACCTTCTGCTTTTGTAACTTTGTTGCACTTTTATTATCTCGCGCACAGACACACTAGCTGAGAGGGACTGTTGTCAGAGAATTTATTGTGAATTTACAATTTTCATGGTTTTTTCAACGTCGTTGGTTTCACATAAACTCTTCACACAACGAACGTACTTATAGACGCGCATTTATGCACTGACACAAGGCTTGGCCTCTTTGGCTACATTCACTTGCGTCTGTTTGCGGAACTTTTATCCTTTTTTAAAAACTACATTTTTGGGCTACCAGGAAGCACCGCCCACTAAGAAAGGCTCTTCTCGCCACGAAAAAGCTCCGCCCTTTTCAGTGGAAGGTCTGAAATTATCGAGATAGAGACTCAACAAGTAGATCAGGGTCTTGCTCGTCACGTACGAAATTGCCTGTTTTTTGTCCTGTGTGAGACGTACGAGACTCTGACCCACTAGTTGAGAACGTTATCTGCTCATTGATGGCATTTGGCGAAAGTAGAAGGGCTCCCGCGGTGCGGGCGGAGCTCCCCATAGTGGATTGAGTTGATTCTGAAAGTCGTGATTTTGCTTTGAAAGTCGTAATTTTGGTTAGAGATCGTGAATTTACAGTTGTAATGGTATATATTCAACTGCCTGAATGAGGACTATGCCGGACGAATATCGCGCTTCAAACGGGACGACTGGTGGACATCGAGCGCTGTAAACCTTTTACTTCCCATTTCTACGTCCTGCTTTTCGCCATTGAGTTAGATGTATTATCAAAACAGTCGCTCCCAAGAACAACACTTGAGCAGCGTCCAGACTTTGCGAAAACGCCGCGCGTTCGACGCGATCGATGGAGTCGAAAGCATCGAAAGCATGCGCATCGATCGCGTAGAACGCGCGAACGAAGCGCTGTCCGCGAAGTCTGAACGCTGCCTTATGCATTTTGCAGCCAAAATCAAAACTGACATCTGGCAAGTTTTACATGGTCGCTAAGATAGTGAGGATCACATTGTGGTACATATTTTTTCCAAGAAAAATATTTCATTACTCTGAGATAGGTAATTGTCTGTCTTTCTATTGAAGTCTCGCTCTAGCTTGAGCCATGAAGCATATATCGTCATTGCTGGTTTTGTCGTGCATGGCGTATTCCAACTGATATGGCTCGTCGTCCTTCAGCATGTTGATAATTGTTTGGTACTTGGTAAAGTCGACCATTACATCAAGTTCTTGTCGACCAAGTTGGATCGGACATGGAATACCGTGAGAGCAAGCGTCCAAATTGCTCCTGGAACTCAGTGTGTTATTTCTGTTGTTCTGAATACGGAAAGTTTCCACCTGATGGTTATCAAAAAGCGAAGCAGCGAGAAATTAGCTAGAAGACACTATGTAATGTTATTACTGTGTAGCAGAGGTTACAATTTTAAGCCATATAAACTATCCCGAGTTGGGCTCTCTCTCACAAAAGGATTCCGTGCTCACCATATGGGCGGAGCCAGCCCTCGCTTACGTGCTCCTCCCTTCTGGGGTACTTATAGGTTATGCTGCCCCAATAGGTAATTCACAGTGATAGTGTGTTATGAAGTATGTACTTCATATTGTTGAAATAACTCCAACGTTTTGTTCATGTCAAAGAACTTCAATGAATCTTCATGTAATGAATTTGAGAGGGGGAGGGGTTTTCAAAGGATTAGTCTCCGCTTCGCACACACATGCCCCTTTGCAGGAATAGAGCAAGCTGATGTCCGTGACAACATATAATAAGGCCCAGCCTGCCCCGCCAACGGGAGGTTGAAATGTATTCGAGTGGGAATTTAACAGCACTTCATCGTCACCGTTTTGGAAAGAGAAGATTATCTGTGGATGACTTAGCCTGCCACTCAGTAACAGTGTATCAACAATTTCTAATTATGCCTAGGGCAATCTCGATAGACGAAAAATTGGCTGCAAAGTTTCTGTGTTCATGTTTAGGAAGTCTGTTTCACTTTCATCTTTGGCACTTGTTCTGAAACGGTGTCGTAAAGACACGGTCCAAGCTAAACTTATAGGCGGCGACAGTCAACTACGGCTTTTGTGTTTTCCTTATTGCTATTTTGGAAGAGGAAATCATCGACAATGGAGTCTCAGTGCTAGAATGTCGCCACCCGAGCAAACATCATGGACTACTGAGGACGTTATGGAAATACCAGCGCTTGTTCCGTGCTGTTATCTCGTCGCGAATTACGACGCTGTTTGGAGTGGGAGGGCACATCACCAACGCACATTGACGCAGAGGCCTGTATACCCACGTGAAGCTATGGAATGGCACTCATGGTCAGCGGAGCTTGTGCAGGCCACCGCCTAGGCTCTTGTAAAGCTAATACAGTCTAAGAGTGAAGCTGAAACCATATCGAAAATTGTTTGCGTGACCCATTCAGATGAAGGAACTGAACAAAATAGGGCAGAGAGAAGGAGGATGGCCTGCGCCTTCACCTGTCCTCCAACCAGAAGCCTTTTTATGTGGAGGGGAAGAGAGAAAGAAAAGAGGGAAAAGGATTGAACAGATACGGTGCTTACAGGTGAGTTGGTGGTAGTGGTGAGCAGAGAATACAGAAAAGTCGAGTATCAGGGCGAAATACTTCAGTCAATGGCGAAACTGGCGAAATAGCACCCCCTTCGACTGCGAAAACGACGCAAGCAGCTTTGATGCAAACGTTGTGAGGTTATAAGGTACAACCAACTGTTGCCAGTTCGCGAGACCTTCGTCGTCCTCACCTTATCACGAAGTCGAAGGGGAATATTTCGTCAGTTTCGCCATTTGACTGAAGTAATTCGCCCTGATAGTCGACTTTTCTGTATTCTCTCACCACTACCACTAACTCACCTGTAAGCATCCACTATCTGTTCAATCATCTTTCTCTCTTTTTTTCCTCTTTTTCCTTCCACATAAAAGCGGCTGCTGATTGGAGCACAGTGGCGGAGGCGCAGGCCATCGCCCTTCGCTCCGCCCTGCCGCCGCGGTGACGTCAAAAAACCGCGCCGCATACTCACATGGGTGAGTTTCTCCCTCCTCCTCCTCAAAAAAAACTAGTGCCCTAGAAAAATGCCCCCTCCCAAAGGCGAAGCCCACGTTACTCATTGGTTGGATGCATACAAACTGTAGGCTGAGATCTGAAATTCATTGTCAGATATGTAGTGGAACATGACGAGGAAAATTCTACTATGATCTCCTCTCAAGAGGTTCAACATATGCAATTAGCTGAGTGAAGCTCCGTCTCTGGAATGATTCCCTTCTCTGGGGATCTAGATTTACATTGTTCCTCGACCTCTCACTCTCGGGCCTCGTGGGGAGGTGAAAAGGGCGATCGGTTTACCCTCGGCAGTACCCACTAAAGTAAAACGTAATACACTGAAGTATACACTGTTTTGCAGAGAAGTCGAACGTGTGGCGCGTTCTGCCCACCCAGTAGGCTAACCATGAGCTGAACCCATGGTCCACTCCCTAGAAAAGCATAGAAGGCCTCGCGAATCCTATACGAATTCGTGGCAGCTGAACGATCTCACATTTCAGAAAGCCTTATTCACCATTCCCCCTACCAATCATTAGGAACCACCCGTAGATACATTATAAAATTCGTCTGGCACTATAGGATTCAAAAAAGTTCACGCGGAACTACGGACTTTCCGCGGAAAGTCCGTAGTTTCCGCGAACTTCAAGGAAGTTCGCGACTTCCTTGAAGTTCGAGATGATCTATAAACTCACAGTAGTCCGAGTGTAGGCAATGAACTCCACGCACATGTGCCGAGAGGAGTTCCCCATGACCACAGGCTAATGGTAAGCTTCAGATTTGGCGATTTGTAGACATGTGTAGGATTCAAGATGTCGCATTTCATCATAATCGGCTTTCCGAGATGGATCGGATACTCATAGTTTTTGCCTGAAATATTTGGTCTTGATGCATGACTAGCGCTTGCCAGATGTTGTGACAGCCTTCACTGTAATTATAGATTCAAAGTAAATATCTGAAGAAAAGCGAAAAGTCTCCGAGGGACTAATTTATCGGTGCCTCTTATTTCCTCTTTACCAGTCGGAGCCGCCGGATGTAAATGTTAAAGGGCCGTGCCTGAGAGCATTTTTCAGATTCCTGAATGTTTCCTCCGAAAGCATATTTTTCCTGTTTGCCTATTTTAACAAGTGCAGATGTGAATTTCCCACCTGACTCATCGTATGGGGTCGCATTGTAGAACATCACTGGTCCACTGTTGCACTGGTACCAGTGGAGCTTGGTATCGGTCCCATTCGGCCACGTATTGCAGGCGGCGAAGCCTGTACCAACCAGGGCGAGCACGAGCACGAGCGTTTGCATCTAACTGTAACGTGGAAAAACAAAAACGCTTTCATGAAGAAGGTCCTCATTTTCCTTTCCTGTCCTCTCCACCATCCTTTTCTCTCACTTACAGAGCATCAAGAAGATGAATCAGAACTATGCTTGAGAGCAAAGAAAGGGTCATGTAAAAAATGAGAAGAAAATGAGGCAGGGTTCCTTCCAAGCAGAGAACAAGGAATTCGTGATAAAATGAAGCATGTGAGCCTATCTATTTTATAACGAATTCAGGACCATAGACCATTCCGACACGCCCAACGTACTGAACTTTACAGCCCTGCTTATCGCCGACTAACGTAAACGTACGCAGAGAACTATTTCATGGAAGCACGACCAGATCAGAAGGTTGCTGAACCATTCGATATTGGTAAGCAGTATGTCGAGAAGAAGAAGGTTCAAAGTAATCATAGGTACAGGTTTATATAGAATCCAATACATTTACAACTCCTTTGGGGACCAAACAGTGGTGGGGAGTATTTTCCCCTCTGGAAGAACCCTTCACTAACTTAGCGATCCAGGAGGCGTGTGCATTGATTTACTGGAACGGAATTTAATCCGCAATTTGAACCCACTCCGTAAAACTGGTAGCAGCCCTTATTATCAGAACCTCATCCTCCACGAAAGCTAGAAAAACGATGGAATCTGCCTTACGGGTGATAGCGCCCAGCATTCCCTTGTGGATGTATATCTGCTGCGATTGCTTTTCAAGGTATTATACT